TTTTTTTTTAAATTTTGCAACTATGAAGTTAACGTTTGGTTTTGTTACTTGTTCTAACGATTAAATAAATTTTGTTTAATTAGTAAAAAAATTTTATTTAAAAAAATTGACCATGTTTTTCAACATAAAAGTAGATTTTTCTCGAAAACGGTCAACTTTAGAGCTTATGACCAAGAGTACTTTTTTTGTATAGAAAACATTGGGGGTTCAAATGGGCGTTCAAAACCGTACTTTTTCCAGTGGCGTAGAAGTTGGGGAGAAAAACACCCACTTCCACTTCAAAATCTTCACCAATTATGATTTTGAAAAAAATTTTTTCTCGCACAGAACATAGCTTATTATGAGTAGTAAATGCTTACAAAAGCTGTTTTCTGTACGATAAACGGTTCCGGAGATATTCGCAAAAAACGAATTTTTTTTTACAATTTCAACACCCTGTATCTCGAAAATTGTGCATTTTAGAGGGTAAGTTAATACAAACTTTTTTCAAATTTTTGGACGAGCTATCACATCCTGAAGTCCTGCGCATATATTATGAAACACCCTGTATATATATATATATACTGGAGCATGGTATTTTCTTCTGCAAACGTGAATGATAAGTCTCAAATGTGATGCCATAAGAGTAATGGTTTGATATTTTTCTGCGATTAATGTAATAGTATTTAGCTACACCTTACCTCTAGAAACATATATGGCAAATCATACAAAAGTACAAGAGAAACAAATTAATTCGTGATCCTTTTTAGAAGCGCTTTCTAATTCTATATCATAATTACGGGACGATCTCGCTTGAACCATTTTACATGAAAAGCCTTAATGGATCAATCCACTGGTTTTCAAAATACAGAGTATTGAAATTTTGAAGAAAATATATTACACTGAAAGAAATATCTTTTAGCCATAACTAGAAATTATTAATGAAGCAGTTCAAATAGCATTAGAAGCTGAAGTTACTCATTTAGTCCTCAAAACACTCAAAATGTTTATTATGTTCAAAGGAAACATTTTCTTAATAATCGCGGAATCGAAATAATAATCGTCATGTACGAGTTAATCGAAGTAGATCAGCTACTTATACTAGAAATAGAAGTGAATATAACAATAATGGTTCTCAAACCAACTACAACCAATAATTTGGAGGACATATCTATAAATAGCAATAACTCACATAGATATTTACCCGGTACATATACACACAAAACGTTGAACCGTCGGAAAACTGTCAAGACCAACTCTCTCGGTCAAATCAGAGAGCTGTGAGAGAGTTGGATACGATAACAGAAAATTAATATTTCTAACTACCGGTAACACATCAAGGTTAATAATATATAAGATCAATAATATGTTGCTTAATATTTTGCCAGTTTTTGCGTTTTATTAATTCTTGCAATTCATCTTGATATTACGACAGCTATAGTAAAATTTTTACCCTAGCAAAAGTTTTTATAGTGGTTGTCAGGTTCTATGACAATACCACCAAATATATTTTTAGTTCAAATAAATGAATTTTTAAACATTAATAAGTGATTTTTTTTGGCATGACTATATGCTAGACTTCATTACTAATTTTATCTTTAATCTTTCCCTCCATGTTTAAAAAATTAGAAGTAAAAAACAATACATTTATAATTGGACAGCGTATTTACTTTTAACTTTCTAAATATAAAAGAAAAACGTAATTTATATGAAAGCTGCTCAAGGCATTCTTCATGTTATAATGTTGGACAGAAAATGGCTATGCAGCTCATTCATCTATGATTAGGTACTACGAGCTAAAAAAGTATTTTCGATCTTTGCAGACACAGGTAAATTATTTTTAACAGTTAGTCAAGGTTATCTAGTTATCTTTAAATAAATGTACCTCTTCACCATAAGACGGCGACCTCTTGTTCTAATAAAGTATCTACTTAAGATGGTAAAATCGTTTTTACATAGGATATTGTAACATTAATAAGAAAAATTGCTATTATAATACGTTAACGAAACTTTCTTTTTGGTGATTTCCTTCAGTGGATTTGTTCAAATATCTATGGAGATGTTTTATGTAAACTGAATATATTTTAACCGACCAATCGTCTTAAAAATTCGAAAAGGATTGTACGTACTCCTTTATTCTTCATTTTATTAAGGATCTTTATAGGTAGCTATACCAATTCTTAATTTATTTTGTAACTAAGACCAATTTATTTCTAATTAAATTTAAATTTTTATTGACTTTCATTGTAAGTAACACAACTCTACAAAATGAAAACTAAAGGGGCATAGTCTGTCATCTCTATAAATACTACAGTTTGCTAGTTGAATGACCAAATTTATATTTTTAGCTCTAAAATCTTGCTCATATTGTGAGTCTTATACAGGGTGTTAGAAGTAGAAAAGTTCGATTAATTAAGGAATATTGACATAACTGCGTGCGTAGAATACCATAAAATACAATGATTATCACTTTTTTGAACTTCTTTATGCTTAATTCTAAAAAATAATTAGCGTTGCAATAAATTTAGAATTTTATAAAATTCATATCGGGCGCGGCGGATAACACGAGGTACTAATCTGTCTAGCAATACGCACATCAGTTGGTATCTGAAATTGGACCGTGTTTGAGTGTTTTTTCTTGAGGTGTCCTCCAGCGAGTGCGCGAAAATTGGATTCGAAGGTGTCGTGCGTGCATCGAAAATGGTGGTGGACATTTTCAGCATAATGTCGTAGTTTGTAATGTACTTGTGCGTTTAAAAATTACTGAATTTTGTTTTTGGTAAGTACCTAAATTATTTTTAATACGTATGATTATTTGGATGACGTGATATTTGGTAGTTTAATTACATATTTTTCAAATTCATAATTTGATTAAAAGTTAAATTCCTGTTTTAAGAGATTCATAATTACTAAAATTCGAGCTAAAATTTAAGCACAACACTATCTTCGTACTACAAAATCGATACCCTTTATTTTATATAGGTATTTAAAAACTGGAAAACAATTGTCTTGAAATTTATTAAAAGTTTCACAATAATAGCTGTTTACATTTTTTCCGTAGGACAAGTCTACTGCGTGTACACGTGGTGTGCATCAGCAGGTTAAGCGCTGTTGTCACGTTGTGATGAAACTCCCCAATATTAATACTCGCTGTATTTTGAAAACTGTTAATCTGTAATATACAACTTTTTTGCTCATTTATGATTACTCTATCTTGTGCTGAAGGAATGCCAGTCAAACTTGTTACACCCTTCATTTCCTAATTGAGCATATTAATGTTATCACTCCCTAATGAAATTGGTAAGAGTATTTGAAAAAGACTGCAAATTAAATGTAAGGTCTGTTTCTAAGTTTTAGACGTTTGCATATTTTTACTCAAATATCTCAATTTTTTAAACATCATTCTTTGGGTGGTCCTACCAATTTCTATTATACTCTTCAGTCCGTCATAATGGGTCCGCCATTTTTAATTTAAGAATTCCTGAATTAAAACCTTATATTCGTGACTGGCGACTTTGAAAACCACCGAGTAACAAATTTTCTATCCTTCTTTTATTCTGAAATTTTGGATTCGAGCTTCAGATTTGTAATCAGCGAACCCAAAAACCCGCTATAACAAAATTAAGGTAAAAATATTGAATAGAAATCGGTTTTAGGGCTGCGGATTCGGATTTAGCATAAAAAAATACACCATCCTATAAAAATCTATATACTCATGCCTCTGATAGAGAACTTTTTTTTGTAGGGGTGTGTAATTAATGTACATACCTACACATCAGTTTATGCACACCAAATTTAAAGTCCTAATATTACTATGCAAAACATTTTTACTTCATCATTCAAATATGCTAGTTATCAGGTAACTTATTCTCTTGACTAAATAAAGGTAGATACTTTCTAATATAAATACATTTCATGAAGCAAAGTGAAACATCTGTCACTGTCAATAGTTGCTAATTGAATAAGGTGTAATAAAAAATTGTCAGACAAGTTATTATAAAGTTAAAAATAATCACATACAACAGCTGCATGTAAAATCTATATAGCTGCAATAAACATATGGATGAAACTAATCAAATATTTGTGTATACATTCATAGAAAAAATTGTATATATGGGACGATTCACGTCAAATCGATCAAGCCTGTGCCCAATCGTCCGATAAACTTCCCACAGTAATCAGATTAACCACAAATTCATACCCAAATAGTCTGAACAGGTGCCCTTGACATCGTTGGACATGAGTATGGAGTTATTTTTCAAAAATTCAATATGGTTAATTTCATATAGTGACTTGTAAGGCTAAAAAACCTGAACTCATCATTTAAAGGGAAGTGAACTGTCGATTTCACCCATAAACCTTATCTCAATAGATATTTCTCATGTTTTTCAGGTTGCTGGAACGTGACGTTGAGTTTGTTTGATGGTATAATACCATATATCGATTCTAACCTCAAAAATATTTGCAAAATCTCGATTTTTCGTTGATATAGCGAGCTAAGCCTCAAAAGAATAGACAATTTTTCATGTTTTTGGGGTTGCTGAAACATGATAATGAGTTTTTTTGATGGTATCATATAATACACTGATCCTAACCTCAAAAGTATTTGAGAAATCTCAATTTTTTGTTGATACGGCGAGCTAAACTTTGAGAGAATATACAATTTTCATGTTTCTATGGTCACTAAAATGTGAAATGGAGGCAATTAGATATTGTGGTGTTTTTTTTCCAGTAAATTATTTGGCAAGAAAGCAATTTTTCTACTCTATAGTCAAATAAATGTCATCTAGAATAGCGTTTCATTATAAACGTCATTAAGAGATCAATTTGTGATAATTTCAGCAATTGAGATAGGAGCCTTCAGTGAGCAGGTGTTAGAATAATAATAATAAAATAATTAACTGGAAAAAAACACCACAATATCTAATCGTCTCCATTTCACATTTTCGTGACCATAGAAACATGAAAATTGTTTATTCTTTTAAAGTTTAGCTAGCTATATGAACAAAAAATCGAGATTTCTCAAATACTTTTGGGGTTAGGATCAGTGTATCATAAAAAAAACTCATTATCATATTTCAGCGACCCCAAAATCATGAAAATTGTCTATTCTTTTGAGGCTTAGCTCGCTATATCAACGAAAAATCGAGATTTTTCAAAAATTTTTGAGGTTAGAATCGATATATGATATTATACCATCAAACAAACTCAACGTCACGTTCCAGCGACCTGAAAAACATGAGAAATATCTGTTCAGATAAGGTTTATGGGTGAAATCGACAGTTTACTTCCCTTTGAATGACGATTTCAGGCTTTTTAGCTTTACAAGTCACTATATGAAATTCGTCATCTTGAATTTATGAAAAATAACTCCATACTCATGTCCAACGATGTCAAGGGCACCTGTTCAGACTATTTGGGTATGAATTTGTGGTTAATCTGATTACTGTGAGAAGTTTATCGGACGATTCTTTATTTTTCTCATACTTCTAGACGCCATATTATGTCCGTCGTCTTGGATTTTTCAATTCTGCCAAGTAGCATCTTAAAGTACTTGGAAAGACGATTTTTTTAAGCCGAAAACCATCCTCGTAGGTGCTCTCAAATTTTGGGCACAGGCTTGATCGATTTGACTTGGATCGTCCCATATGTATGTACCTACACTAATTTTTAATTGTATAATATTTAAAACAACCAAAAACAAGGCCAAAGCCTCCAATTAAGTGAAATAAACCATATTATTTAATTAATAAACAAGTTCAGGTCGACAAGCTGCTCGATTAGTTTATCTCCACATATTTGGAGATGTTAATGTATAAATAAATCATAAATATGAAACTGATTTGTTCTCAATGCAGTTCTATCATACCGTAACTAGCATACTGCTTCATTATGTCACATATGAATTATTTAATACCTAGTTATAATAAGGTTATAACCTTAGCAATTATATAAGTCATTAGACATAAAATATTTCGTTACGTAATGCATTAAAGGTGTTTGATTACACAAAATATCGTTGAATGCTTGAATTTTTGGTATCTACCTACTTAAGAAATAGGTGTCAATAGTTTTCCCGATTAACAACTAAAAATGTATTTACATAGTAGTATAATTATGAGTTGATGAATTATACATAATTATTTAACGATCCAATTGCATTTTCCCAAGAAGCAGAAAAACAGTTATGTTAACAACATTAACTAACAGTCTTTAATAAAAAATCATTAGATCAAAAATATCTCCTATACAATGTCTGGAGTACACAACAAGAATTTTTTATTTGTTCTTCGTATAAAATTATAAGGTTAGGGATAAATGTTTTATTTATTTTAATTTTTTGGACTTTTTATCTAGCAAAGAACGGCAAAGAAAAAAGTTTTAGAAAGATATCTTGCGATATTTAGGCATTACATAAAGAAACAATTGACTTGTATTTTGAAGAAATAAACCAAATTTTTGATTTTTAAATATATTTGTCAGTTTTTCGATCCCTCTCTTTTTTCTGATAACAATGCTAGGTATATACAGTTATGTATTTGCACAATATTTTAGTTTATTTACTGATCCTTTACCTAGTCAAGATTGTGTTAAATATTAAATACATCTTTAAATTCTGTATCAACAAAAAAATATCATATCAAAAGTCCAAATCTTTATACTTTAAACACTATTAATTTCAACTAGTTTCATGACAATAATTTTGTCAAATCTTCAAGCTGCAAAAAGGTATGTGACGAAACTAGTTAAGAATAGTAAAAAGTTTGAGAGGTTGTTTTTTTTTATGAAATTGGTCTCTTATTGCATCAAGGTCTTGTTAAAAAATATGTTATTATGAAAGGTGATTTATAATACCTTCATTCAGTTTTAGACAAAAAACATATAGATAAGTAGGTACTTGTTACCCATCTTATCGATAGTACTAAATTTGTTCAATATTTTCTCCTTTTAGTGGTACAAATTATTATATCTTGCATTGTTGCATAATTATAATAGGGGAAATAAATATGCATTGATTCCAAGACAATCTTGACTTCATCTATTGTGGAGGGTCGAAATAAATAAACCAAAATATTGTGCCAAAGAAAGCATTTTACAACTTTTGTCTTAACCATTTTTTCTATATAGGAATATAGAAAGGCAAAAAAAATAAGAGGGATATTATGTTATGTGAATTACTCTTTACATTACAACAAACTGAACTCAATTATAAACAATTTAACGCTATCTTAAAACAAAGAGTCAAATTAAAATTCCGCGTTACCGGCCACAGAAATAAACACAAACATCTCTGTTATGCACGAAAGCGAAATCCCTAGTTAGGTAATTTACCGTTTGCAAGTCCTAATTATAGCTTAATTTTGATTTAAACGTCGATAAAAAAAGTGTAACTATTGGAGCAGTATTGCACAAAATTCAAATTCCTTAGCATAGATAGAGTGCATGGAACAGATTCAGTGAAAGTCGAGTGAATATGTGCTCGAATTGTATAATACCCTAGCCACGCCTAAGCTCACAGGCGTATCATTGGAACTTTTCATAAGGAATCAGAATTATCTAAATTATAATCGTTCGGTTTACTATCGGGTCTCAGACAGACGAGAGCTGTGGCATGCAACCAGAGGTGAATCTGTTCTTATCCCATAGGGAAGTAGGTATGCCACGATTTTTCTAGCTCTACTATTCGTCGCACAAGAAAATGTCAGAAGAAGATAAACCAGCATAATTATTATTATATCACAGTAATATCAGGTTAATCGTGTGAAGTTGATCTGGGTTCCTAGTCACAACAATGTCAATGAAGGAGGCGATACATTAATAGAACAGACCTTAAGTAATAAAGAACCAGTACTCGGGTTAATATAATATTACTATCTAAGATAATAACTGATAATTGGGTCAAGAAAAGGCCAACGAAAGAATGGACAGAAGTTTCGTACGCGATAAGCCTTCATGTAAAGGATTCTTGGATTGACGCGAAACGCAAAATCAATACCTATGCTAAGAATATTGATCACATGACTTTTTAACAAGCACGTCAATAGAATTAGACTAAGCATCAATCTGATATGGAGATTCGAGATGAGGATTCGATACATATCTATTGTTTGCCATTTCAATCATCAGTGTCCTCTCAAGATATCACTCCAGAGAGCTCGTGGTTGCCCTCGGAAGAACACGAATCCCAATTTAAAAATGCGATGGCTCTTTTAGATATTCTTGGCTTATAGTCCATGGACTGCTTTCTATCGTTTCTGAACTTTATTATATTATGAAAGCCCGTACCAAATTAGATTTAACATCTTTAACAGAAGAAGGCTAATTGAAGTTACATACTTGTACATCAGAACTATAGAAAGTTCTAATTTAATAAAATTGCAGCCTTATTTCCTTTACATCATCAATGAAGAAAAATACATAAATATTATTGATTTGGATTTACTAAATCAATATAGGTACCTACCTAATATAATTCAATAGCTAGATATCTAGACATTATTATAAATAAATTATATAAATAAATAACCCTCTGAGAAAATTAACAATTCTCATTACTTTTTGATCAAACCTAACCAGTATATCTTCAAATTATGCTTATTATTTTATTTTGTTTATGATGACTATTTTACTGTTTTCAGTTTCAAATAATTGAACGAAGATCATATACCCGGAAAATTAATTCTTAACTATAACCATATTAAACAGTTTTTACCACACCCAGATTTTGGCTATTGCGAAAATTGACTTGCTGTGTTTAAATACAGCTGATACTTTTGAAAATTATTTTGGACTTGTTTGATATTTTACAAAAATTGACCACGGTTTATTATTGTCGAAACTAGATTCCGCGGGGTTGGGTTCTTCATTGTTGGAGCTCATGGCCTCTTGCTTATCTGACAGAACTCAGTTTGTCCAGATTATGGGAGAAAGGTCAATGGAATTTGCTCAATCCTCAGGGGTTCCACAAGGTTCTGTCCTGGGGCCCTTGTTGTTTGCGATTTTTATTAATGATATAGCATTGGATCTGGATGTGCGTTTCCTATTATATGCGGATGATATGAAGTTATTTTGTCCCATAGCCAATGAACGTGATGCACGTAATCTGCAGAGAAATTTGGATTTGGTAAACTCCTGGTGCGCTGACAATAGATTGCCTCTTAATGTGGCAAAATGTAACGTCATGTCCTTCAGTCGGCAGTTGAGGCAAATTTCGTATGACTACCGATTACACGGGTCCAGTCTAGTTCGGCCAAATGTTATTAAAGACCTAGGAGTCTATTTCGATCCAAAACTTTCTTTCAGGCAGCATATGGATTTTATAGTTAAATCTGCCTACAAGAACCTGGGTTTTGTCGTGAGGAATATGGCGGGTTTTCGGAATCCCAACACTTTTAAACTGCTATACGGTGCACTGGTCAGATCTAGACTGGATTATGCGTCTTTGGTTTGGACTCCTATTTATTCTATTCATGTGTCATGCTTAGAAAGAGTTCAAAGTCGATTTTTTAAACTAGCGGCGTTCGCGCTTGATGGTCACTACCCGCCGAGGGGCTTTCCGCATGAGACATTTTTCGAAAGCTTCAACATGTGCAGTCTCGCAGAACGCCGAAAAATGTATTCTGTTATATTTTTGTTTAAATTGCTCAATAATTTAATAAAATGTGAGAACTTGTTGAGGCTAGTAGATTTTCATGTTCCTCGAGTGAATGCTAGAAACAGGCATCTTTTGGAATTAAAAAAAGGTCGAACAAATTTGTACAAAGCAGCGCCTGTTCATCAGATGTGTGCCAGCTACCTAGAAGTTGAATCACGGTTAGATTTATTCTGTTCTACCATCAGTTGTATTAAGCAGGTTTATAATGTACGCAACTGATTTTATTTTGTGACTTTTATTGTACTTTAGTTTTGTCTATTGTCTGTTTTTAATTAGTGACTGTTATTTTTTCTTTTTTAATGTTCTTTAACTTTTATGTATGTATCTTTGACACTTTTCTTTGTTGTTTCTTTTGTTTTACATCATTTAAATGACTGACTTCTTGCTTCTTTTCCTTATCCTGTAACTGGGCTTTATCGCTCGTTGGATATTGTACTGATAAATAAATAAATAAATAAATAAATAAAAATTGGCAGATAAATCGTTGCAAGACCTCTTTATTTACGTAGCAACTGCCTACCTACGTATTTAATTTAAGGTATGGTGTCATCATAAACTGTCCTATACATGTTCTTGGCTATATTTTGTTAAACTTCAAACGTCAAAAATAATTTTACGGTAAATATTTTTTGTAAACATTGGTGTCAACAGTTCCAGTGCATTTCTTAAATTTTGCTGCGTAGCGCCACTGTCGACACTGCGTGCAAGTAAACATAGTTTTATTACCGTCCTATAAATAATTACAATATACACGATTTATACACATCAACGCTGACTGTTTGTCAATTAGGGGTATACAGGCAAAACCACAAAAACAGGTCCCATTAGCCTCTGCTGTATTTAACTTTAATTTTTATTTCTATTGCTCAAACTGGAGCAGTTATTTTAATTTATTATATCGGCGATGTTAAACACGCAGATCTATTACTAGTTTCAAGAAATAGTGAAATTATTTGTATTATGCGAAAAATTATACATTAAATTACTGCCTAAACATTATTTATACGTATTGCTAGTTGGAGTAATTCTTTAAGAAGACCGTAGAATACAGATTCATATCTTGTTATGCTATTCCAGTTATAAAAGTGAAAACTTGTTCATTTGACAATATGGAAAATATAATAATATTTTTTAATACCTGTATGTAATTTTGTAAATTTTTATTTTAAAGTAATTCTTTTTGTATTATATTAAATACGATCACCTCATGCAATAACCACTACTTAACATTCCGTT